TATACACTAAGAAGAGAAAGGAGGAGACAAGGAGAAAAAAAGAGACAAAAAAGGAGAAGAAAAGAGACAAAAAAGGAGAAAAAAAGAGACAAAAAAGGAGACATATAAGAGAGATAATAAGGAACAATAAACAGAGAGGAAGAAATACTGCTATTGCTGCTGCTGCTGCTGCTGCTGCTGCTGCTGCTGCTTCTATTGCTGCTACTGTTGCTGCTGCTCCTCGTTATGCTGTTGCTGCTGTTTCTTCCTCCATTATATTATCTCCTTTTGCTGCTGTTATTCCTCTGCATGCAACTCCCTCTATATATCTATCTAAACCCTAAACCCTAAACCCTAAACCCTAAACCCTAAACCCTAAACCCTCGAGGAGAGGTCTAATGCCTGTATAGTCCTAAACCCTACAGATTAACCTCATATATATTCTCAAACCCTAAACCCTAAACCCTAAACCCTAGGGGTAACAAGAGACATAAACCCTAAACCCTAAACCCTAAACCCTAATTTACCTCATATTGTTCTGTTGCTTTTGCTTCTCCTCTTCTTTGTTTTCTTATCTTCTCTAGGGCAGAGAGAGCCCCGCTCTTAGAGGACGACATTGTTGTTGCTGCTGCTGTTGCTGCTGTTGCTGCTGCTGTTGCTTTTGCTGTTGCTGCTGTTGCTGCTGCTGCTGTTGCTGCAGCAGCAGCAACAACAAATAATTGACGTGTTTCTTACTAGAGAGGGTTTGCTGCTCCCCTCGAGGGGGGCCTCTTCTTTGTGTTATACACTAAGCAAGAAGAAAAGGATAAAAAAAGAGTATAATAAGGGTATTAATAAATAAATAAATGGTAAAAAAGAAGTAAATAATATAAAAAAAGGGTTTATAAGGATAAAGGTGCATATACACCCCAATAAACAACCATTTATACACCAGGGGTGTTGCTGCCTATACACCGTGGGGGGGTTGTTGCTGCTGCTGCTGCTGCTGTTATATAAAAAAGAAGAAGAAATGTTTGTATTTTTTCCTTCTTTTTATAAAATAAAAAGAAAATAAATTAAATATAATTAAATTATATTAATTTATTTAATTTAATTATATAAATATAAACAATTTATTCTCTTTTTCTTCCTCTTTCTTCGGGTGTACATGCAGCTCCTAGTAATACCATCGCCGATACCGCCTCTCTTTCTTTCTTCTTTTTCCTTCTTATTCTTTTTATAAGGAAATTTAATTCTTTTTCTTCTTTTTTCTTCTTATTTATAATTAAATTTGATTAATTTAATTTATTTTTATCTTTTTATTCCTTTTTATAATTAAATTTCCTCTTTTTTTAGGTGTATAGGCAGCTATTCATTGTCCGTGTGCTCTCTTCTACCTCTTCTTCTTTATCTTCTTATTTATTATTTATTATTTACTATTTATTTATTTATTATTTATTCTTTTTTATTTATTTTATTTATATATTATTTCTTTTTATTTCTTTATTCTTATTTACTTCTCTCTTCTTAATTAATTAGATAATACATCGTTGTACTGTTACCCCTCTTCCTTTTATTCCCTCCCCTAATATATATATAATATATATAATACGTATGTAATAT